GTTTGGGTATGTTTCTCTGGCGATGATCATCCACTTGGATGGGAGCAGACGTTGTTGAGGAGATCCCTTTGGAGCAAGAGCTGGAGGATACTAAGGTTACAGAGTAGTCTCCTTAGGAATTTCCTATATGTACTCGTGTAGTATTTGACTCTTTAAGCTGTTCAAGTTTGAATTTTCGTTTCTTTTATTTCTGGATGACTGTAATTTCACATTTAATTACACGTCATGCTCCAACTGTTCTCTTTATTTGTATGCTGACGTCTACATTATATAATATTCGTTATTATATAATTGGGACGTTACATATGAAGTGCATGAATGTGAATATGAGAAATCGTTTTGGAGTATGAATTATTAATACTATAGGGATTTTATGAAGTATGTAAATTGATGTTTTATGTGAAGTTATAAGGTTATGAAATGATGTATTGAAACTTGAGTTGAAGATAAATGAAAATCTGAATATGATATTTCCACTATAATAATGTATGTTCGTCATTGAACGGTCCTCTACCGTTCAGTGTTTCTAGTAAACTTCGTTGAAATAGAATTCTTTCATTTGGGAAGAATTCTAGTTGAGGACGAAAGCCCTATTGTAATAGTGCTATGTTTGAGCGTTCGGCCAAGCGTAGATGCCCTGAGTGTTATGTGAGGAATTGGGAATCTTGTAAACCTATATTTGTATACTTAGTTATTCTTAAACCCTATCCCCATTATCTCGTATTATGTTTATTACTATTAATGTTTCTATTATAAGTTTAAATCAGTGATTGGTCTCAAACCAAGCTCTCGAAATGAGTGGCGCTCAGTCTTATACCGAACACTCGTACTCGTTTTTAATTTATCAAACTTGAAGAAACAGCGTTCGTCCAAATTCAGTAAATCCTTTTTACCGTGTTCGGTCATTGACGGGCATTAGGTTTTTGTAATTGAATTATTCTAAATATGATTCTTTAACGTCTTGATGTGTCTACATTCATTGGATCCGGCCCAGAGTCTCCGTATTTACTCTATTCTTTGAGTATTGGTCTGAACTCACGAGAGTCAGTTCATTCAACTAATTCACGTGGTAAATAACGTTCGTAATGTAGGGTATATTATTGTAATCCGTCTTATTCTATTCTGGAACGGGAGATTTATCAGTCTCGTTCCTAACGTTCGTCCTCGTTATGCGGAGAGCTGAACGTTCGGTATTTTATGTTCTTGGAACTGATGAGGAAAATGACACTAAAGTGAAAGATTATAAAGGATGAACAATATATGAGATAAATTAAAGGTTGTGGATTTTGGGACGAGCGTTCCAGGGAGGAACGACTCTTGGATGAATATTGGAATTTGTAAAGTATGAATGTGGACAAAGCTTGGCTGGCGATTCGTCCTGATGTTCCGTGAGTACTCGTCCTCACGTAGAGGGGAGTAGGTCATGTGTGGGAACGGCAGGAGGTCCTAGTCCTTAGGGGTACTTTGGATGGAACGGACTAACCTCGGGTGGCAGCTGATGAGAATTCCAGTTACTACATCACCTGGGTGCACGAACGCCGTAGCTACACAGAATTCATACAGTCCGGACAGTCGATCTAGTATCAGGGTTTGATTTGAATTGTTTATTGGAATGTGTTTGAATGTGCTTGCATATGAAAATGTATGTTATTACTTGAATTAAATTACATAAGCTTACCCTGTGTCTTCTTTGTGTTGTCTTGTCCTTGTACGTCCGTCTTGTCTTTGCAATGATCATCCGTGTGGATGTGAGCAGATGGAGACGCGCTACTGGAAGAGGCGCTGGAAGAAGGAAATTTGGAGGAAGAGAACCTCGTCGACGTGGAAGTTAAGGCCGAACCGTAGTACGTTCGGTTAGTAGTATAGTTTAGTTAGTATAAGGTGTCGTTCGGTCACCTTTTTCTTTTTT